ACCCTGGGAGAAGGGAACAATGACAGAGCGCAGACACCGTCAAGCTGTGCACGAGAAAATGGAAGCGGTCAGGGGTCCTAGAACTCGCGATGAGAGCTACATGAACTGCTTTATCCTACGCACCACAGAGATTGATCCATCTGGGATCGGAAATTGGCCCACGATGGATTCATGATCCATGAATCCTTCGTGGGTCGCGCCTTCAATTACAGGAATGGGCATGATGTAAAACAATCAGCCATCATTTCCTCTTGGGTTCCGAACAAGGCACGGGAGACGTACCTGATTCTCGAAATTACGCACCACTCGGGTGATACAAGGGAAAAAGGGGAGATCGGGGCTGGATGACTGTGAGCACTTCTCTAAAAATAACATGAAATTGTAATGTTTATTTAGCAAGGGGTCGGTTTGCTTTGAATGGAAAGTTGTAATAGTTCCGAAGTTCTTGTAGTAGGATCTCTGGATTGTGGTAGGAGATTGAAGGTCGTGAGAGTTGGGGCCAATTCCCCAAATGGTATGATAGTTTGTCAGTAATTCCAATTTTTTAGAGGAAGGAAATTCTCGGTGAATTATTCCACTTCTCAATTTGCAACGATCCCGGCACTTCCCCTATCTCCCATAGTGCATGGAACATACTTGCCTTTCACACAAAAACAAAACTCTGCGCTTTCGTAAGGCATCGTTTACTGCTGGATAGATATGCCATGCCGGCTGGCTAATCACTGCATACTCAATCAATGTAATCGCATCTATCGAGCCTAAAGATGTCAGTACGGAGTAAGGAGAGGTGACCGATTACGTCGGCAAACGTTTCATTTGGAATTGAAGGCCACTCTAAATCTCCTGATGAGCGAACTGGTTCTGTCGCCCTTGCTCGTCCAAATTCAATGCTCACGAAGTGGTCCGATTCCCACTTGTTGCAAAGCCCAAAATGGCTTCAACTTCAGGGATGATCTGGGTGGTGGACTTTAGAACTCTGTCTGAAGACAGGAATATGTATATTTCATTTTCAGACTGCTGACCGCTGACTTTGCTGCTGCCGTGATCTTGATCTCGATGGGAGCAATGCTCGGAAAACTTTCGCCTACACAGTACCTCATTATGGCGCTCATTGAAACACCAGTTGCTATCTTTGTCGAGCACCATGTCGTCCACACATTCCATGTAAGCGTGTCAAGTTGTAGTTTTGGCTGGATGTGCAGGGGGGGGGGCAATAAAAAGACATTTTGTCTCCAGACTCAAATGGATTTAATCACACTTTGCTCAGCTCAAACGTGTGCTCCCAACTTAGAATTGAAGAGCGCATTTCATTTCATAAGAAAATCGGCGCTCATCCAGTAAGGGGGGCATCAAGTGGCTGCCCTCACCCCCCACCCCCTAGACTGCCTACACTCCCCCTGGCGCACAGGTTTCTCGAAGTACGGGACCCCGTGAGCCAGGGGGAGTGAAGGCAGTCTAGGGGGTGGGGGTGAGGGCAGCCACTTGACGTTGCATCACAATGCCCCCCCCCCTTACCGGATGAGCGCCCGAAAACTTTGTAGTGGCCATCTACGTGGACGGCATCAGGAAAATTTGCCCCGGAAACATGGTGCTCTGGTCGAGCTCAATGGGGTTCTCGACTGATCGTGTACCGTTACGACGGGTTCCGAGGGGGTTTGCATAGTTAGAGCTAATGTCCCTAGGAAACTATCCCACGTTGAATCGATCCAAGAAATTATGTAAGAGCTTCAGGCTGAAGCAGTTACTGTAGGCCTCCCTGAGCTCGACGACGGTGACAGATGACGTCATATTCTGAAGACGGTGAGGGTAGTGAAGGAGGGCCTGCGTGTACTTATAGAGGGACATTTAGGGAATATTTGCTGAGGAACTTCCGTCAACGACGGCAATCTCTGCGAAGAAAAAAGGCCGAAGTGCGACCTGGGCAAAATGTCTTTTTTTTGCAACAGAGGAGCAGTACAAGGTTCTAGGAATGAATGAAAAGGGAAGGAGGGCTCCTGGCTCCTGACTCTTTCTTCGTGCAAGCAGTGTCCCTACTCAGCTCGCTGAAAAAACAAACCGCTTTCTTTTTTCGCATGCTCTTCTCCACGAGTTCTCTCTCCTCAAATACCTCAAAGCGACCTGCATATGATGATCGCTAGAGAGCGAGGGGTACACAGAAAAATGAGGAAAGAGAACCCTAGAACCCTTAAGGTTTCAAGGGAGTCTCAAAAGATCACATGCCTAAAAGCGTGCCTACAACCCTTAGTTCTTCTTCTTTTGCCTAAGGCTGGTTCGCTTTCGATCTTTTGACTGAATGCTTCAGCAGATTCTTCTGTGTCATTCAGAAATGAGAACTCAAACAGCGCTACCTTTTTGGTTCCTTCTCTAGCGCACTAACTGGTGTGCGGCACCTAGTGCAGTCACATGTTCTTCTTGTCACATCGTCTCTTCACCATATGCAGGTGATAACTAAGGGATGCGCAGAGGAGACGCGGTGGCAGGTGACGCCACTTCTCATGCACATGGGCCGGAACTCAAGTTCCCGTATCGGATGTCACCCAGGTCAATCTAGCCCTCCATTGCTCCGGAGTCGGTGAAATGGTAAAGAATAGTTCGGGGATGAAAACACTGACCCGTACCCATATGTATACTACATTAACCGGTCCCGCAGTATTAGTGTAGGCCACACCGCATTCATTTGGTTCTACTCAGCTGAGTGAATGTAGAATGCATGGCGTACGCCCCAGGAAGGGATTGGTCGACGCAACGCGTTGTCCTCTCACTCTAATCTGGGCTATAACGTGTTTGCAGAAAAGGCTCGTCATATCACAAACGACGCAATCTTCAGTGGTCAGGTTATTTTCCGGAGTATGAACAGTCGTGTCCATGGAGAACAGCTACCCTTTCAAGGCGCTCGCTAAGCCTTGTGATAAACTAGTTTTCAAATCTGTATGTAATTGCGAAATCGAAACTGGCAACCGGAACTATATACAATGTAACTCTTAGAACTGATGTGTACAGTGACGGTCAGGAGTTCACATAAGCATGATGTTACTATTATTTATTACATAGAACCGCAAGCATCAGAACATAATCATGAGAGGGAAAATCTACAAGTTTTTCGGCCTTTTTTGTTACTGAATGCACCTGAAAAACCTCTAATTGTTTGGAAATAAATTCACTTATCTCAGCTGGGAGAAAGAACAGCTTTTCTGGTAGTTCGCATTTTCAGGTCACTGATATCGGTGGTTCTCCTTGTCCGTTCACATGCTCTTCGTGCCTATTTCGGTTTGGCATGCTCAAGAGCGTTCGCCAATTCCAAGCAAAGGGAACACGATAATGAGGGTTCTGTCTACCATTCCGACATCTATGCTATGATTGGTGAGTTCTTTCTTTACATTCATTTCTGCCCAGTCAAACGAAATGCGAAACAAGTGCCGCTAAGCAGTTAATAGCGAAGAAGCAAACTATCTGCAGTTAAAGGCACTCTATCGCTCTTATTTGTCTATGTCGCTACAGTGAAAATGGAGGTCCTATGTGGAGGGGAGGGATCCCTCCTTGGATCTTATCCTCGGTACGTATGTACTGTTGAGTGCCAAGGATAGGATAATATGTACGTGAACGCCAACGGCTCATCCTGAGACGCATCGCCAAGCAGCAAGTGTGTGTCTAACAATCCCCTTCCCCGTATTTCTCGTCCTGCTCACGCCTATCCACTTCTTTAACTCGGTCGTACCCTTGGGCCCAAGAAAAGATGGCCCATTTTCTGACGTAAGCAAACCAGCCCTTTTGGCGCTTCGGCTGGGACCGTATGCTGAATGGGGGATGGAGTCCCCGACGGTGGACGGACCACTTCAACTCGGTCCTTAGAACCGCCACAATTTGGTGCTTACCTCAGAACTAAGCCTTAAAGAGAGGACGGGTCCGTCCCTCTCCAAGGCTTAGTCCTGGGGTGAGCAAACCAGCCCTTCTGGCGGAGCTGCTGGACCAGCTGCACCACTTGCGTCAGTACTCTCCTATCGTACCAACCGAGTTGAAGTAAACCGTCGACCGTTGGGGACCCCATCCCCTCCCCAACATTCAGCATACGGTCCCAGCCGAAACGTGCCAAAAGGGCTGGTTTGCTTACCTCCTTCTGCTGACTGCAGGACCGTTTTGGACGGCCGAATTGTGGAAGTACCTCAAAAGTACTTTCATACTATGCTGGTACTTATTAAAAGTTTTCTCTAATGAGTGATTACGAATTCATGAACGTCCTCCTCGCTAAACCTATCTTTGAGTAGAAATAGACGTGGCCGGCTCAGCTCCTGCAGCCGTCGCTGTTATTTCAGTGGAGCTATCCTTCTCACGAAAAGATCACCGGTACACGCGTATGTAGGGCGCCTTCTTGGACTCAGAACACATGAAGAAGTTTTGACGGCAAGTATTGGATCAGCGCACTTCCTGTAGACTACTGCTTGACCATCGTTGCGGAATTTGCGCCTCGCTTCCCGATAAGCTTCCTCGGTCCGTCTGTCGTTCTGTCGCATTGGCGCCAGGTATCCCATTCTCCTATTTCGCCAACGTACTCATTTTTTGCCAAAAGGAAGGTCCCATTTTATTTTTCGCGTTTTCATCCTCTCCTGACGAGTTAATTGGCCCCTAATGTTAAACTATTCAGTCTCTATTATTCCCCTTTTACTATCGCGGTCTGTGCCTTTAAGTGGTAGAAAATAGCTGAGTTATCGACCATCTCAAAGGGTCACCCGATGATGGCTACTTGAGCTGAAATGACTATAATTTTTATAAAGCACAATTTTTTTCCTGATGACATCGAAGCAATTCACGCCAATTTTTAAGGAGCCATCTTCTTGTGGGTGTTTTGGCCGTCATTCAACGCCGGAGTTGCCGAGCCCGCAGATGCCCGTCAACGAGCTGTCTGTAATACCGTTCTGTCGCTAGTCGCCTGTACCATCACCACATTCCTCATGTCGCAGGCCACCGATCACCATGTATGGGAACCGGCTGCAAAATATTCAACTAGCGTCGACTGTATGAATGGGATCTTTTCAGAAGAAATTCGACATGGTCCATATCGCCAACTCGACTCTTGCCGGTGGTGTGGCAATCGGAACCACTGCCAATGTGGTGCTGCACCCACTTCATGCGCTCATTGTCGGTGTCATTGCAGGACTCATTTCCGTTATTGGATTCAGATACATCACGGTAGAAAGTGATTTTTTGTGAATACAATTATAGTAAGTTAACGATAATAAGTCATAAATAATTAAATAAACTAGGCGCTATATACAAAGATCGGGAGCATTTCCCCCCCCCCCTTTTTTTTTTTTCGACTAAGTTTTGGAAAGGGGTAGTACCAGGGGGGGGAAATTGGAAATCGCTCACCACTCCTGGTTCTCTCCTCTCGCGCCTGGTGCTTACTCCACTTTTTGAGCTAAAAATATATTTCCCGAGGTTCTACATAAATGCATTTCCACAACAATAACCCCGTATCTCAATATTATAAACCAGTTTTGCTCCGCCCGCTATCGCGCGCATCACACGGCAGGCTTTAGTGAAACTGAAAGACCCATGGAATATCAGCATGAGGCCCTCCATTAGCCACCTCACTATTGAATGTGTTAGACCTTTCCCAGTTTCGCTGAAGTCCATCGAGAATACGCGTGATAACGTCTGGAGCTGAACTGGCATATTTTCACAACTGTAAACATCCAGCATTCTTCTTGAATTCAGATAATTTAGCGGTGAATAGGATTGCTGTCAGTCTCAAATGAAAATGAAATATGCCTATAAGTGAGGAGCTAAGGCTTATCATTTATTTACATTCACCATTATTTAGAACCCCGAAAGGATTAGCGGTTTAATGAGTTTGGGCTTTCTTGATAGGAACGAAAGTTATCATTTGCTGAAGACTTGATTGAATTCATGCAATAGACTGCTATTAAGTAGGCTGGTCATACAATGATACAGTGTGCACGTACCACTACAAATAGAATTTGTAAGTAGGGACGCTCTAGTGTCAGCGCAAGCCACGTAACGGAATCGACGACTTTTGCGTTCTGACGCCCCTTATCAGCCCTTATCAGTTGTAACCACTTTCCATCACCTACCAACAATGTCCCCGTCCCACCCCACATGACACCTGCGAGTATGGACGCTCTAGTGTCAACGCAAGCTGCGTAACGGAATCGACGACTTTTGCGTTCTGACGCCCCTTATCAGCCCTTATCAGTTGCTATCGCTTCCATTCATGTACCACCATTGTCCCGGGACCACACATAACACTTGTAAGTATAGACGCTCTAGTACCAATATGAACGACAAAACGAAATTGGCGATGCTCGCTTTCTAGCCCCTCTTATCAGCTATTATCAGTCGTTATCAGTTCCTATCACGTACCACTTGTGTCCCCATCCCACCCCCTATAACATATGTAAGAACCATGGCGCTATCGTTGCTGTGACCCGAGCTACGAATTTCGTGACAAACACACACACACACACACACACACACACAGACATACTTAGCGAATTATATATAGTAGGATAATAGTTATTTGTAAAACTCAACCGTCCAGAAAAATAAGCAAAACTGCTCTGAAAATCTTGAACTGTCACAGCTATATTCAATATTCATCAATAATAATAGTCAATAAATTTTAGCCATTTTTGTCGAGTAAGCTCGGAGCCCATGACACTTGTGGAGTCAACAATCTGCATGGAATGCCGGGTGTGCTTGCTGGTCTCCTTTCAGCCGTTTTTGTTCTCGCCTACGATCCGGCTGATTACGGCAAAAGGTTAGTATAAACTCTTTTCACTGTGAATATGGGGCTACTTTTATTGCATGCGTGGAGTGGTTGGATTTTCCCTTTGCTGCTTCAATTTAGAGCAGGGTCGGTCCTATCGTTGCTACTTTTCAAAAAGTTTTTACGACCCCCTCCCTCATGAAATGTTTCATACGACCCCCTCTTTCAAAACAATTTTTACCCCAAAAAATTACCCCAAAAAATTACCGTCGAGCGGGGGAGGGGGTATATACTTACCATAAAACCGCAAAAATTCCCTACATTTCCCTACAATTCCATGTATTTTACCCATATTTCAACTGCTCTCATTTTCTGGGGAGGGGGGGGGGAGAGCATATTACGCGCCCAGGTATTTTACCCGATATCTCAAGTGCTCCATTGTTCTACGGGGGGGGGTATATACGCGCGCTGAAACGGTCTCATGCAACTTCTTACAAAGCAAGTACGACCCCCCTCTACAAACTCATCAAAATACGACCCCCCCCCCGTTGCTACTTGTAGCAACATAGGGTTGACCCTACTTTAAGGACGGTGAAAATCGTGGCTCGGGATACATTTGACACCTCAACACAGATTTGGCCCCCGCGTGTATCGAGTTTGGACAAGTTTCTCCCTCACTATCCTCGCCTCCGCGCGCGATGATTTCAGAACCTTTGTGAATCGTCCGTGAGTTTGATCAGTGGGGTCTCATAAGAAGGGTGACACCTGAACGGTTTCGTAACAGTCATACCATCACGGATCATTGATACCGTAGGGCCTAAGAGCTCCCCACTTCTGTAATTAGTGGTTTTTCTTCTTACAAGGAAATGATCCCAGGTCGCCACGGCCATTCGAGAAGAGATGTACACGCATGTGTGGCCTCGAACGCCGATCTCAAATCCATCTTCCTTATCTGCTAAACGACTTTCTGAACAGATTGATCAAACAAAAGATCGCCAATTTCAGTGGTGGACCAGGGTCAACCCTATCGTTGTTACTTTTTGAAAATTTTTTACGACCCCCCTCCCCCAAGGTGGATTTGATACGACCCCCTTTTCCACACCTCGACCATATTCATCGTCTCTATAGTATTTAATTCTGATACCACTCAACCCACCAAACTCCGCCCACTTTTTCCTCCAAAAATGCCGTCGAGCGGGTGGGGGAGGGCAACATGCTATTGTTAATAAAAATGCTCCATAATGACAGAACATTCTTGCATATGGTAGCATACCCAGTCTCTGAGAATACATAATTTTTTCTATTAAAACCGCCAAGGTAGATTTATCTTTACTACAAAAATCCTCTCGCCATGTTTGAATTTTTGTTATTTGATGTGTTTTTTTTATTTGAATTAACTAGTTGTACGAAATTCATGGTTGTGTATTTTATACACGCGCGCGCGCTGAAACGGCAACTTTTTTCCTACGCCCTTCAACAGTTTCACCTCAAACTCACATGTGGTTTCAAACGACTGAAACGGGTACGACCCCCCTCCTACAAACTCAACCAAATACGACCACCTTGTAAAACGTAGCGCTTGCCCGGTGAAACTCCAGTTCGGGGGGGGGGCCACTCCATTGCTATCTTATCCGTAGTACTAGAGAGCAGTTCTTTGGGCTATCGAACACTACGGATAAGATAATAAGTGAACGACTCATTTCGAGCGTACTTTTGATAAGGACCGGTGGATGTCCTACATTCCACACTACCTGCCCACATCCCATCCACTTTTCTGCACAGGTGATCCACCCTGGAGCTCCTGCACCCTTAGCCCTTGCGGAGGTGTCCTTTCTCCTGGTCCAGGACCGTTCCCTTGGGTCATGGCAGGCGGAAATGTGAAAACGTTTCAGGGTTTCTCACCCATTACACCAATATTTATCAGAAGTCTACTTTAAATGAGTCGATTACGTGTCGTGAGCCCTCTAATCCTTATCTTGAGTATTGGAGAAAAAATGGAGTGGCCCCCCCGAACTGGAGTTTCACCCTTGACCCTGGTCGGGACTCACAGTCAAAACGTCTACGAACGTCGTTTACTGTTTTCCATTCTTCAAGAGCTCAGCAATACGCTATTAAGTAACACTTGTTTTGTCTCCCATCGGAAAAATGTCCGTAAAAGGCATTCCCCGATGAGAGACATACAAAAAAGACGCCATGCTGTCTATTCCTATGGCTCTTTCTTTTACCATCACTTGGTCCTCTACGTTGGCTTTGACTATCGATATGGCCCTTTCTTCTTACCGGACCTTTTTATAAACTCTGCTTCTCCCACTGCACCCATTGTGCTAAATCAGAACCTAGTAGTGAATTACTCTCATGACAAGTGAGTTATTTCAGCTTGAACATTATCTATCCTGCCATGAAGAGCGAAACCAATGATACAGGGATATCGGCTGCTTCACAAGCTGTTAACCAGCTTGTTGGTCTTGCTTTGGTGCTTGTCTGCTCGTTGGTATCTGGGCTAATTACTGGTAAGTGAATGAACCATTACTGACTTTAAACAATAACGGAATGCCTCAAAATACTAGAAGTAGCTGGGATTCGCCTCAGCTTTCTCTGAATAGCATGTTCCAAAAGAAAGGAACTATTAGCCCAGGCTGATCGAGTTCGGGAATCAAAAAAAAATCCCGGGATGAGGACTAGTCCCTGTTTAGTAATATTGGACTCCCTGGGTCTTCGCTAACTGATATTTTTTTGAAATGCTAATTCAATAGGTAAAAGACTACGCATTGTAACTTGCTTTTGGGCAGCGTCCAAACAAAAAAGTCGCATAGTTGCTCATAAGGCAGGTGTCAGACTTCGCGACAAACGCTAGCGAATCGCGGAAATCGATAGCGATTGCGAGCGAAGTCTGGCACTTGCCTAGATCGAATAGGACCAAAAATGATTCGTACTTCAAAGGATTGTTCAGACTAGTTTGCCATTTCTGGAATTCACCGAATAAGGAGCAGCCATTCTCAGAGATTATGTTAGTGAACAAGAATTTCACAATTCTATTTCAGGTTTCATTCTGAAATTGAAAATATTCAATCAAGTACGCCATCAGGAATTGTATGCCGATGGAGATTTCTTTGAAACGCCAGCCGATTACGATTTCACGACCAGGGTAAGTGATTAAAGGGCTAATAGTGAAAAACTCCTCGTTTAGTCTTCCTACCAGATTTCAAACTCAATATCTCCCTTTTTCAGATCGTTTCACATATCGATCGTGTTGAAATCAACGAATACAGTAAACTCACACAAAAGGAAGTTTAGGCTACCCAGTAATATTAGAAAAAAGACTTGATTCGATAGTTTTCTTTATCCATACATTATACGAA